GAGCTCAGAATCCGTGACTGCGATGACGCACGACCACTTAAAGACAAACCTCCTTCATTTTGTGGGTATTGGCGTTGAATAACGAACTGCGCTTAAGCCCCTCTTCAGAGAAGGGAGCGAGAGGCGAAAAATTCCTTGAGGCACTTCCACGTGAACAGCGTGCTGCCAGTTTTACCGCCAGAGAGTTGTAGGGTGTAGAATTACGCCGTGCAAGAAATGCTCCACTGGTACCTCCTTGTTCCGTGGCTCCGCGGCTCCAGACTCCTCGCGCTCCAGATGGCCGCTTTCCTGCCGGAAACATCTAGTCGGGAAAATACATGAAATGCATGCCCACATCGTCGTCTTATGGGTCTTAGGGTCGTTGTGAGGAGTCAGCCAAACTAGATTCGCCCCACAAAGCGGGTTTTTTTTGGCATTTCACACGGTGCAATTGTATTAAGCGTGAAGGAGCATCACAAAATGAAAGGCCGTTTCGACATGTCCATTTCAGCTTAGTCTCCGCTTTACCGACGATGTCTTTCGGACAAATTCCCTCCACATTTCATAGCCAACACATACGCTCCTTATCCCGGACCGTGCCTTTGAGTAGGTACCCCTATCCTCACAGTACGAGCTCCCCGAACCTGATCAGTTCATGATAGAAAGCGATATGATGCCCTCTTTGGCTCTCTAATCGTTGGTTCCCGCCATCCGGAGCCAAAAAACTTTTGACAGTTCAAAACAATGCAAAACACGAATGCTAGAGAAAGGAAATCCAAGGAACACGAAATAGCCTTTGTAGTGTCTTTGCACCATTTGGTCCTGGTGTGACAAACTATGGCTACCCTTGCAATTACGCGTAAATTTCATAGCGTAATCGGGTAAAATGAAAACGTCGTCTCGCGCTGCGAGTTGGACTGCCTTTCGAGCTACAAATGGTGATCTTGTAGACCCCCGAGATGGTGAAGTCGCCTTAATTGCCAGTCGGACAGGGCTGGAATAATTGCGGACCTAACTATTCTCGTGAGGTTCCTGCCCCTTTTCTGGATGGAGGAATTAGGGTAGAGAACGACTTTGCAATCGACTCTTGAACTCTTTTCTCAACCATGAAACTTTATGACGTGGGAATTTTGGTCGAATCCGCAGACCCCCTCCCCGTTCTCTCCTCATCGAGTGGTCAAGCGGAGTGGGAGAATATGCCCCCCCCCACCCTCTTTACCATTTCTTTCTTAGATTTTCCCCTACTCCGACTTCCAGTTTTTCCGGAATTGCCGAAAATTTTCCTGATTTTACCCAAAAATTTTGCTGTCGACGGAGGAGCGGGGGGGGTATATATAATATACATAAAACAGGAATAACCATCGAAAAGTCAGCAATCTCTCGCAGAAGCTCATCAAAAGCTGTGAAGGGAAATACGCCCCACCCCTCTTACGTCTTCAAAACAAGAAAAATCAACTATCAAAAAAATTTTCTTGGCCCTAGACACGACCACCCCTTTCCCAGCAACCAAGTACGACCCCTCCCTGTTGGGGAAACCCCAACAACGATGTGCCCTGTTAGTGAAAGCTAACAGTCGATGATAGCGCCGCGCTCACTGTTAACATTCTGGTTCCACTAGCAGTCGCTACTTCCTTCCAGAACATAGATTTTCTGCCTATTCAATAGCTATTACCTCGTCACACCGTCAAGGGTGCTCCACAAGCTCTTAACTTGCCGCAAAAGCAAGTAGAACAAACAGTAAAGGTCAGCTGGTAAATGACATAAAATGTAAAAAGCAGATGGTGTTATTCAACTGATAAATGACGTGATGTGTAAAAAGTGATTGGTGTTAAATGTAAAAAGTGTGTTAGTTGAAGACGTGCTTCGCGACTGTCAAAAACATTAAAAACACCCTTGACACTTGGGTCGTGAAACGGAAACCTCCAGTAACTAGAAAGTGTAGATATCGATCTAGCGAACGCCAGCGTTTTTGGAGCGAAGAACTGAAATAAAACTGCCGGCCAAACGCTGCTTTATGCTAGCATACGCTGGCGTACACTAGACCGACCGCTCAGAACGCTACTGTATCGCGGCGTACGCTGTTGCAATGTATGAACGCAGCCCAAAGCGGCAGGCGCTCACTTCAATTTTCTCTAGTTCAATCAGTTATGAATTCGGTACGGCGCAGGTAGTGACCTGCTAGGGGTAGGGCGATGCACAGGTCCATGTTTGTGCTCCCACACAAGTCTGGTACTAGCCACCTGTCCCGGAGCGACAGAAGGCTTGATCGGGATGGTAGCTGGTCCCGAAGTCAAACCTCAGACCGTGCGTGTGTATGATGGTGCCTTTTGCCACTACACCACCTCCCATTCGGACACATATGAATGCAAAAATAATGTAGATCCAAGAAATACAAAAATTCGTCATACGACTCCGCCATCAGGTCCAGCAACTAGTGGTGGACCTGTCTGAGAGAATGAAAACACGCATTTGCGCATAGACTGGCTTCTGCATGGTACTGATTAAGTCAAAATCGCATTCAAGAGCCACTCCTGATCCTAAGTGCATTCGAGATGCGTTCCAAAGAAGGGGAGGGCGGGGCTATCTGCCTCATTTCCAATGTAGCGTGCTTTTTTAGGGGACATGTCCATTTGGGACGACTATCATCTTGCCTTGTGTTGCAAAGAGGCGTAATTACACTTCTCTTGAAACGAAATTCCCACCAGGATTGTACACCTTTCACGTTCGAGTAAAGCACACCGCTGTTGAGTGTACCACACCAGGGGGGAGCCGTATATGGTCTGAGAGAACTTTTTTTTGCAGTTGATTTTTCTTTTTTCACGGACGCTAAAGTGGGGAGTGGGGCGTATTTCTTCGTTGTTGGAAGAGGGGTGTCGTAATGCCTTCTGAGAGAAATTTGCGGCGTTGAGAGAAACTTTTCCGGTTGTTGACTTTTCGCGATTTTTCCTGTTTCACGCGTGCTATATACTCCCCGCTCGACAGCAAAGCTTCGGGAAAAACTAGAAATTTCTCGGGAAATGCCGGAAAAACTGGAAAAAGTGGTAGGAAGTTGGGAAAATCTCAGGAAGTGGTAGGTAGGATGGGGAAGGGGTGGTATTTTCCTCGCGCTTTTTCCCGTTTCACATGTGTTCCCCCCCCCTGCCCCCTGCTCGACGGTTCGATCGTATCGAAAGGGGGAACTAGGGAGACTAACTTCAGACCAGCGATGTGCCCTGAGCCTTCCTCGTCTCTGGGATGGAATGCTGAGTATGCGGCCACGTCGAAAATCTAAAAAAAGGCCTAATGAACAAGGTCTACTCACTTTCTCTCTTTTTTTTATTTTATCGAGGTAAAAAGTGTCGAGGTTCGGGGCAGAAATCACGTTTCATGTTCTATTCCCCAATGAAGAAGTGAAATTAGGGCCCCATTTGGACAGCGTATTGTTTTGAACGTATGAATGTTTTTCGAAGCGATGAAAGGTCACTTCTCAGTAGCCTTCTATGTTAAGAAGCATGGCCTGCTGATAGGTGATGATCATTTCGTCGACATTACTGCGAAACTGGTTAGAGGGCGTCGTAGATGCCCGGAAATAACGTAGCGTGATCGCTGATACGCCCTAAACTCCATTCTCGCCCAATGACTGTCATGACTGTTCGAAAACGCTCTTTCTTTCTGTCAACACCATCACTGCAGCCGAAATTCCATTCACCCTCTTAGCTATTTTTCTAACCCTGAAAATTGACCAGTAATACCACTTGTTCTTCGGATTTCGTCTCTAATTTTCTACCCTGAGTTTTGTAAACTCTGTGGTGATTGCTCCTACTGTATCTGATCTACTCCGTCGGAACGTAGAGAAGGTATTCATTGATTCCAAGCTGGAACCTTTCCATGGGGCTGCGTTTTTCTGTTCAAGGTATACCTACATAGATAGAGTAGGTGCATGGGTGGTGCAATCAGAGCACGTCCTGCCGTTGAGGGGAGGCTTGCAAGATAGGACCTCCTCATAAATTCACCCTTTGGTGCTCTCCCCCCTCCTTCCCAAATTTTGATTTTCTTGAATTTTCTTAACCTAATACAGTGGTGATCCATGCAAGCAATTAGCGCTTGGAGCGCAGCCAGAGCGGCCTTGTTCCAGCAATGATGTCAACCTGAGTCTGTTACGATTGGTGGGTGAAAAGTCAACTCTGGCTGCGCTCCAAGCCCCGCCGCCGTCCTGTGCACTATCATTTTCGGCGACAACGAGTGTACCATTTTCGGGTATATTCCCAAAAAAATGTTTTTCACGAGAAGGTCGCGATGGTACACGTGGAACGGGAAAAAAGGGGAGAAAAAGTCAACAGCCAACGAGAGCCATGTCCTTAGAACAATAACGACCCCTCTCTGCAAATCCCCAACGTGGAACGTGTGGTGTGTGCCATATAATTTGGAAAATGCCCTAGAAGCCTGAGCAGGTGAATGCCTGAACTGGTCTCGTGGCGCCAACAGTCTGGACAGATTCTTGGACCTTTCGTCCGAACTATCCCTCTTTGCCCCATTTCTCGTACATTGGGCGCTATGGTGCCGGTCAAGCCATGTGGTGCTATAAATATGGTGTAACTCGATACATTTCGCTTTTAAAATAGTGCAGGGTCGTCAGTTAAGTTGTCTTCAAAAGCATGCACTTACTCCGAAGTTCTTTAATGGTCGCGTGGCTGTTATCACACCAACGCTGGTCATTTGGTAACGCTCACGGTCTAGCTAGCGGGAGGATTGGACGACGGGTATCATTCGTCTCACGGTCTAGCTAGCGGGAGGATTGGACGACGGGTATCATTCGTCTGACCTGCGGCCGAGTAGTTCACCTTGACAGTCGCGGATTTTCAACGACATCTGCCCCTGTACATGGGGCTGGGTATCATGTGACTTCTCCCAATTAATCCTTGGACCACCGCGCCCATACCTGCTGATTAGCTGTACTCACTCACGTGTCGCTTTTTGCTTCTTGCCTGTACTATTTGCATTTTGTTGTAACTGCTCACTACATTTAGATAAAGCTGTAAGACATGGTGACGTTGACCGAGCTGGTCGAAACATTGCGAGAAATCTTCGCTAACAGTGAGGTGAATGTCGCTGAAGTGATGCATCTCATGGAATCTTACAAGAGTAACCCGGCGAAGATGGAAACAATATGCCAATTCGACGAACATAAGTAAGCCCGTCACGGCAGTGTATTGATTACACATGAAACTATAATTACTTAAGGTACACTCGCAACCTTGTTGATATCGGCAATGGCAAATACAACCTAATCATTCTTTGTTGGGGTCCCGGTATGGGAAGTAGGTACGTACTAGTGTAAATGTAATGAAATGTATACTTCAGGTGAATCGTTTGATTTTATAATTCTTGTCTAAGTACTCCACGATCATCACGGAACTTGCCACAATTGTTTCGCTGAATTCTTGATGGATCACTGCTTGAGACGAAGTACGCTTGGCCTGAAAATGACAATGAAGAGGCTCCACTAAAGAAAATAGAGGAGACTCGTTTCGATGAAAATGGCGTGTCCTACATGAGCGGTTCGTTTGTCGAGCACTTGGACTTACTTGTTTGTGAAACATGACATTCCAAAGACGAAGAGGATTTTGAGGAATTATTCCCTCCAAAAAAATTTACTTTCAAAGAAAATTGTCCATTTCAGATAAAGCTTGGTCTTCATCGATTGGAAAATCCCAAGTCATCTCCTGACACAAGCCGCCATTTCTCTTTACACCTCCTATATCCACTTATGAAGCCTGACAATGCATTTGATTGAGGTGGGGGCGCATACCGTTAAGGTCGTTGCCGTTGGTTGTTTCCGTTTTTTGCCGAGCTTCAGTCTTCTTTTTCATATAGAAGAAGCGGTCTTCAAAGACATTACCAGCATGAACCCATGTCCTTGTCTACATGAAATCCGATGTTCCAATCGAAAGGGCTGTGCAAATTAAGAAACCTCGCGCCCATTGTCGCGCGCGACAAAGCGGCAATTTACTTCTCTTGCCCGTCTCCCCCCAAATACACCGGCACCCCCACTAATGACCTCACCGGTCCCCAGTCAACAATTAATCACGACCGGATAAGCTGCCTCCCTGTCTCAGGGTTCCTTCTAAAGAGGTGGTTTTTGGTAAAATATATTTCCTTAGAAAAGGGCAAGTTTCTCGAGCGAGTAGTGACCCATTTTGTAGTCTCAGGACATTATTCACTCTCATTTCATTCTGGCTTTTTTGACTTGTTTCCCGCTAATCTTCCACAGCCGCTTTGCAACTTATTAGTATATTCCTGTTCCTGTATGAAGAAACCATGTATGGTGCTGTCCGTGACGGGTTTAGCTACCGCTTAAAATAATGTGTTTACATATTTCCTGCACAGTCGCCGTGATTTTTTACATCGATCATAGACCAACGATGATTTATCTCAGGCGCAGGCTCCTACACTTACTGATTGGAGTCGTCAGTTTGCAATTGACGGCCTTTCGCGGGCCTTTTCGACCGTTTAATCCAGGCTTTGTGCCTTAACTGTCGCACTTGCTCAGTCGAATCTGCTCCCGTTTTCTGCAAAGAATAGTTGGGACTGACTGCTTTAGTGCTCAACCATGGGCGCCCTCCTTACTATTAAGCAGCAAAAGCCTGCAGTGTGCGCGTGCAGTGCGTGCCAAACCCAGCATCTCCAGCGATCAGCGGGAAGCGCTTCCAGGAGCAACGGCTGCTAGAAATGAATAACAGATTGATGTACTAGACGGTTACCTTAACTTTTGCTATTACGTTAGTAAGTGTATGTGCGAAGTTATCTAGAGGTGTGGTAAGTGGGGGATCAGAACGTTATCTTTCGTATCTTGCTTTTGTTGAAGATTGTGCATAACAAATAGCGTTATAAAAAGCTGAGAAGAGGATAGAGCTCTCTCTCTCTCTCTCTCTCTCTCTCTCTCTCTCTCTCTCTCTCTCTCTCTCTTCTCTCTCTCTCTTCCTCTCTCTTCTCCATCGAAAACGGTTCTTGTTGGCATTCAGATTCATAAGGCTCGTTCATACACCGCGGCAGCGTCCACCAGCGACCACTAGCGTTTCGAGCGTCCAGCAGCGACAGCGCCTAGGAAAGTATAGATATCAATGTAGCGTTGCCAGCATCTACCAATCGGCTAGCGTTCATCCGCGACCGGGAGTGAAGAGAATTGGGGGAAGTAGGAGCGCAGTAAACGTGGATTAGCGTTCGTGAGCGGCAGTCTGTGCAACAGCATACAACAGCTAAACCATCGAATTATGCAATTTAGTGTACGGTGTAGTGCAGTGTGGTGCAGTTGTACGCACGCCGCAATTACGACGCCTGATCCAGCTGTTTGCTACCCTCCTATTTCCCCATACTCTCCAGCTCGCTGGCGAATCCGAATGGACGCTAATAGACGTTGGTAGACGCTACAATACCTATACTTATTACTCCGATCCCTATACTTTCTGACGTGCTGACGATTGGGAAGTAGTGGTCGCTGGTGGACGTTGTCGCAAAGTGTGAAGGTACAGTCCTCATCATTACGTACCGGGGCGGCACAGCCGCGCTGCACTGTAACGCGACAGCGGCTGCGAGCTCCGGCGACGGTGAATTCAGCTGATTTTCGAGTTGGAATGGGATTTCGGCTGTAAATTCCCACTTTTTCAGCTCCTCAAGCTTCTAAAGTGGAAGGTTGAGTTATTCTGAACAATTTTGACCTGTACTGACTTCTGAATGGATCTGAAGATGTAAAGACATTTGAATAAATACCTGGAATAAGCCAAAATACATGGAAAAGAGCATAATAACCGACATAAAAATAAAAGAAATCAGAGCCAGTACAATCCATTTGGTCGGAAAGTCAATCTTTCATCTTTAGAAGTTGAAGAGGTGAAAAAGCTGGGAATCTTGCAGCCGAATTCCATGGACCCGTCTCAGGGCACTTGTCCAACGAAAGCCTCGCCTCTCTTTCTTCTTTTTCCTTCTTCCTTTGTTCTCCTTCAAGTTCTTCGTCTGATCCTCCTCTTTTTTACCTTGTCTCTTGACCTACTGCGGTGTAGTAGGACTCCGTGAATACCCTTGGACCCTCGCAGCGAGAGCACGTCCGGTTGACAACAGCCGCGTAACCCGACAGTACGTAATGATCAGGACTGTAGCTCAAGAGCGTAAAGGAAGGCTATTACCGTAGGGAAGCTAGGTAGGATATAGCTAGCAGTCCACTTTAGTTGCTTAGGATCAAGGTGAAACCCTTTCAAAGTCGTTCGGCTACACCTATCAAAGTGCTAATTAATACTGTCCGATCCGCTGGTGGCGTGTGGCTTTAACTGTCTCTGTGAAAACTTTTCATTTTTTCAGCGGAACTGGAAAGAAGACAAAATGCCAAGTGACGTTTTTTACGAAATATGGAAGAGTCGGACTATAGGGGTAATAGTTAAAAACGGCACGTTCGTGACCTATGTGCCACCGTTTGTGAAATTTCGTCAGGAAATGAATGGAAAATGACATGAACCAGCATCCAGATTAGTTTGTGCTGCTCAGAACATATGTGATGTCCCTCAATCGAAAGAGATTCTCTATGAAGTTGCATCGATTTGTACACTTCTCCACGTTTGTACTGAATACGGTTCTCTATTGTGTGCCTAAGACTTGTACATAGTAAAAACATTCACGATAAAATTGTGCCTTATGAATAATTTTTTGAGTAGCTAACCCGTTTAGTGAGGCCAGCGAACAAACTACTGATGTGCTACGGTTGGTTGTAGCAGTCGTATGCCTGGGGATATTGGGTATGTGACAAGAGAATCGTAATTCGCCGCACTGCTGGATGCCGCGTGCGACGTCGCGCCAGCAAATGACGATGGTTCCAGGTAGTAGATGGCGACAACAGGCAATTCAGAACTGAAAATAGTCATGAATATCTACGATTACGGGGTCTACGTGAAGCCCGGTGCTCCAATCGACAGGATAACACGAACTGAAGAAAACACCGCGCCTTGCCGCGCGCGGTTGGTTGCGGGCAAATTACGATTCTCTTGCCCGTATCCCGGGGATATCATGCATAACCAAGAACATGTCTTCCAAACTGCGCCCAAACTGGATATTTGCCAGAATAGTAGGTTGGTGCCGTGGTGAAGGACTGATATGTTGGGGTATTAGAGGAAATTTTCCGTGCAGTGCCGTGATCTCAAGTCCCACTTCATCTCACATCCTGCACGTTCTGCGAAACTCGCATCTCTACAAGAAATACATAGTTTTTGAATTTATTTATCTGCTTGGCAGTGATATAATAAAGTGGAGAGAAACAAAAAAAAAGAACGCCGGATTCGCATTATGAGATGTGAGATCGCACAACATTGAGTTTTGACCATCGGCCACAGTAGGGCGTTTCGAGAGACGTACTAGTCTGCTTCCGGTTTTTCACTTCTTGTTACCGTAGACGTTGAGGGGGTTCTGGCAATTATTGCAGACACATTCGTACCGATCTTCTCGATCTCCATAGTGCTTGTAAACGTTACGGCATCGTCCCGCACCACAGTTCTGAAGAAATAGTACACATTGCAGTAGCTCCAGCAAGGTAACGACACATTACTGTGCCTAGGATCACAGTAAACAGCGTCAATACTTTGAAGCAGCGTTCTCACCAGGGCCACCAGCGTCAGACGTTCACCAAGTACTGGGGGTAGAGAGTATCAGACAGCTTGCATTGGCGTCGGTTAGCAATGCGGCGTGTGCAACCGCACCGTACAACTTCACTTCACCGTACATTTATATACATATTTCTGTGCTTTGGCAGTTGTGCGGTGCGGCTGCACACATCGCAATGTCGTGACGTCTAGTCCAGCCGTTCGCTACCCTCCTACTCCCCCATACTCTCTACTCCCTGTCGTTGCTGAACGCTGATAGACGCTAGATCGACACCTATACTTCCCTAGTCGCTAACGCTGCGGGACCCTCGGAAAGCCAGTAGTCGCTAGTGGACGCCGCTGCAAAGTATGAACGCAGCCTGAGAGAGCATATAAACGAGCAAGGCGACGGACATGATAATTATCAGCGTAGGCGGAGTCACGTGTGCAACTTTGTACCTTAGCGTCTCTACCTTACAACTTTGACACGAAACCTGCACAAAGTCGTCCAGCGATCTGCCCTACTTTTCCTAAGGAAGATTCTCAGCTCTTATGAGCAGTCGCACAACGTGCCTTCGAAAACATCGCAACGGGAATGAATGCATAAAAATGGCAGCCGTTGCGTTTCTCACTTTCATGGCGCTTCACGGATCTTACGCGATGGTTGTCTTAAACGTGCCTTCATTTGTTGTCGCGGGAATATACCTGTAGTTTGCTTCCCGATTTTTCGGCGCTTCCAGTTAGGGTTATAAATAGTAGAGGATAAAGCCTTCGCCGTTGATCAATCCCTTTGTGGGATGCAACAGGCATTCTACTTCCATCCAAAAATCGCAGTGGCTTACTGAATGCGACGTGGCCTATACAATGGCTTACGGGTGAATCTGGTGCCAATTTACCTTCCCGGAGTGTGGAAGGCTTGATTGGCCGCCTGGGCGAGAGTCGGGGCCAACCAAGCTCTCTGCGTTTCGGAGACGGTAATTTGGTACCAGATTAGGGTTATTGCCCACCTCTCCTGTATTGGGTAAACGCTCCCCAGAGTCATAATTAATTCAACAGAAATGCTGAAGTGAATCGATAATGATCAATGCTTACCCGGACTCGGCAAGATGCACTGCAAGCGGGATCCGTGAAGAAAGACATCATTTGACCGAATGACGTAGTGTATTTTGAACAG